AAAGTTTATTATATGGGGAAGTGTAAGCAACAAAATATCCTTAATGTTTGTTGCTCTGCATCACCAAAAAGAAAAAACAAGAAAGTATTACGTGAAATCTTAGTAGCTCCAATGATACCAGTGGCGATAAGTGGTTTTTATGAAAACTAACGACACATTTCGTGTAATCTCACCTCAGCTAAGATAATCATAAGAAAAAAATAAAACACAACAATCCTGCAGTTAGTGTAGGTCATGCATCCTATTAGGATTTATCCTTACGAGAAGTAAATTTAGTAGAAGCTTCACTAAACAAGAAAAATGAGAGGCTAATGCTAGCGTTTTTTAAAGGCCGTAAACAACAAACTTGAAACATGCAAACCCCAAAGTATCTAGTAGACTCTTTCGAAAAACAGATATAGATCATGAAGAACCAAGTTTACAATTATATGAACACAAATAAGGTAAAAAATTGGTCATATTTAATGACAAATTTTCTTAAGACAACTGGCCAGGAGACATATAAGGCTTAGGTTATGGCGAAATATAGATTAAACATAATCCCTACTGTTGGATGCTCTGAATCGCTAAAGATAATAACGAATGATTTATTGCATATAATCTTACCAGCTCCAACGATGCCCATGGCAAGTATCGAGTTGTATGAAAGTTCAGGATCAGCATCGTGACTGAATTTGCTCAAAGTATCTAAAACATTAAGCTGAGGATTGGACACATAGCACATAGCGAGAGCAAGGGGAACAGCTCGTTTGATAGGCGTCTCACCGAAGCGCAGCTAAAATAATCGATGTGATTTATTAGAAAATAACTCGGATCATAAGAAAGTTTAGCAAAGTAAAGTTATATGAAATTTATTTATCCTAGTTCGAAACTCTGCTTATATAAAAAAGTGAATACCTACTAAGTGTCCAAACATTCTGAAGACCATGTCGATGCCGATTTCCTCGCCCATTGCAATAACAGCTATACCAAGCGTGGCCAAGCCTTGATGGGCATGAAAGTCAAATTGACTATTAAAACTCTGAGCTGTTTCTTTGTTCGTTTCCATCTCATGTTCAGTCTCATTCGCTTTAGCCCCACTCGATTCAGGTTCAGATGATGCCGTAATAGACGCAGAACCGGTCTTCTTACGTTTTGATGATTTCCTTTTGCCACTGGCCTCTGTGGCTTCGGGTGTACTTGTGGAAGCAGCTGCGACGGAGTCCATAACATTTGATGTCGTCGCTGATGCTAGCGCCACAGATGAGGAAGATTCATCGGTGGGCTTACCAGCCAAAT